GAGTTGATTGGCCATGAAAGCTACGTGACAAGTGGTACAAATTTAGATATGAAGAAATGCATGTCTAGCCAGGCATGGAAGACACAGAAGATTTTGTTATTTTGTTTTCTGTTTCAAGTTTATGTAGTTCTCTGGCATTTTACTTGGACTCTACTGTCCTGTCTTCTAATATTAGATAGAAAACTATTTAAGAAAAATAATTTAAAGAAAAATGTTATTAAAATGTTGTATATTCTTCAGAGGTACTTGCTCCCATTGGAAATTAAATTAGCTGTGATTAATCAGTAATTCTTTGGACATGCAGTTGTGTCTGATTAATCATTTAGGTGTTCCAGCTGCAAATGAGTTGGAAAGGATGAAAAAAACAAAACCAGAATATCCTTCTGTATTTGCTGTGTTTACTTTTTATATATATATTTTTAATATTGATTTTCTTCATGTTAATATCTGGGGTGAATGGGTTTTCTTAACCATTAATGTAAAATGCAGTAGCATAACAGCATTCCAAAACTGGTTCTGAAATCATTGATTTAACTTCACTTTCACAGACAGAAGTGGCATGAGATGTAAGTCCTGAATCTTTTTTTTTTCTTTTAAATATACTGAACAGAAATGGATTGAGTATTTTATTTGTTGGCTATATGTCCTGATCTGCACTGAGGAAAAAGAGTTCACATATCACTAACACACGAACAAAGAAATTATTGTGGTGATGCAATTTGTGTGCACAATTAGATGTAAATCATGGGGAAAATTTCTTCTTCTCATCAATATCTAAATTTTTAGCCTTCTTAATGTAGAGATTGTATAAACAGAAAGTAAATTTATTTTGGGCTGATGCAATTGAAAATATAATAGAATATTTACATCCAAGCCCCAGAAACTAAAGAGATAGGCACAGATTTGCCTGTATAAGAAAGTTTAGATATCTATATCAATAATATTTCTGACATAGACAGTAATATTTCTACTAAGAGGAACAAAGAGGTAATTGTCTAAGCGATTTTTGTTGACTGGAAATGGATATATGTAATGCAACATTAATGTGTTGCATTTTGGTAACTCAATATAGCCAATATTTGGAGTTTTATTTTATCCGCTTAAAATAAAATTTCTTCTCTTGTCATCTTCTGTGTATTTCTTGACTAAATTTTCTCTATGGAATGATTTTAATAAAATAGAGAAAAAAGAACAGTACAGGCCTTCATGTTGAAAACTACAAAAAAAAAGGATAATGTTTATGATTACTTCCTACAGTTTTGGTAAAGACATATGGTCCCAGAAGATTTAGATTTTTACTTGAAGGAAAAATATTGGTACACATAAGCAAAATAAGAATGATAGATGCTGATTTCTATAGCACAAGTTTATTGTGCAGAGTGAACAGTTTGAAAAGTGCCGAAAACTATTTGAAGATGAGAACAAACATCAAAGGAGCATGCAATCTTTTTCATCTTTCCTAGTAATTATTTCTGTGTCTGTATGTGTTAACTGCCTTGTGAGGAGGGTGTTTGGAGAGGTGAATGACTGCCTGTCTGGCACAGACGTACACACATATCTCACAGCTGAGTCACACTGTGCTGGTGAGTCAATATCACTGTGCAGGTAAAAATAGCATTTCTATTGTTCTGGTATTAAACAGCCATTTGCACATTCTGAACAGCTGAAAGAAAAGAACTGGAGCAGATGTTACCTATAGCACATTACCTTGTGTGGTGTATGAATGATGTGTAATATCCATTTTAAAATCATAGTGCTGATTCACTGGTTTTCTTTAGTTTTGAGTTGATTTGACAACACTGAAAACTCTGGAGTTACTCGTGAAGTAAGAAGTGAGAAAGGTAGTAGGGTTAAATAAATGAGCAAGGCTTTGACAATATATAATTATTTGAAATTTTCATGTGGTTGAATTAATTTTTTCCCAGTATTTTTTTATGAATGAAAAGATCTTATATTATACCACTAAAAGCTTCCCTCAAAGGTTTATAAACATGAAAAGTTTTAATGTGAGGGATGAAGAGAAACACTTCACACACTATTAATTTGTTTCAGTTGCTTTACAAATTTTGAAGTGATGGGGGAAAAAACTGACTTATTTTTGATTAAATTTTTCCTTAGATTGTATATGATTACATCTATAATTTCTGCTGCTTTTACTTTGCTATGCTATTTTACTATATTTTTACACTGTTTCATTATAACAAAGTTCAAGTAATATCGCTGTCTGTGGGTTTTGATGACATCTGAATTTGTTACATCTGAGTGTGTGCTCAACCCTCATTGGAGCTAGAGAGTGAGGTGCAGCAGCTTCAGGAGGTAATGACAGCCAGCTGCTCCCAGACAACAGCGCACACAACTTCCTTCCATTTCATCTTTCTCAGAAGGGGAAAAAGAAATCTTTACAAAATCTCTCTTCCTCTTCCCTGCCCCAAGCTATTGCAGTATTAACACTCCCTAAAGTCCATGTGTCCCTGAAAATATTTAGGTCTATCTTATTTTTTCATCTTTGACTTTGCAAGCCCTCATGCATCATTCCTGTTATTACCCTATTGTCATCTCTCCCCTTCCTTTTTACTTTCTCATATATAGTCAATAGGTGTACAGTGGTACTAGTTTTCTGAGGCTTTTCCTGCTGGTTTTCTGTGCTAAAAATAGCAATGGGCATTTTGTGATAAACTCTGATGTCAGATAACTATTGTCCCATAGTTCTTGCTCAATGAACTCATTTTAAATATATATTTCTTAGGTTTTTTGCCTTTAAGACAATAGATTTTCCAGTGGATTCTTTTTTTTTTTTTTTTTTTTTTTTGTATTTGTATAGGCTTTAAAACACTGAAGCATTAATCACAGTTGTTATATTAAGGATAATCATATAAAACAGGATCAAAGGTGTTTTAGGAGATTCATGCAGTTTTCTGCATGCAGAATTAGATACTCCAAAAGCATTTATACATTTTTCTGGTCTGTTCCTAAAATCTTGCACTGCTGAAAAGTACACAGAGTCCCTGAGTACAAAACCCCCATAGTCTGTCACTGAAGAAGACTCAGAGTCATCCCTGGACATCCAAAGCCTTGTGCTGTGGAGGTGGAGAGCTGCCTGCTGCCAGCACGGTGGAATGGCAGGAATTACCAGGACGATCTGCTCTTCACCCAGAACGGGGGCTCAGAGATGGAGAGGGATGGGGGAAGAGGGAATGCTCTCACAGACAAGGCTGGAATGTGTTACCCCCATGGACGAGCTGGGTGACCTGTGCGACAGGGTACTCAGCAAGGCTTTGGCAGCAGTTTAAATGTGTGGATTTGTGCAGTTTGCCTCTGGTATTTCGCAGTTGGCTCTGATACAGTAAGTTGTCATTAAACAAAAGTAGTCTCAAGCTATATCTTTCTATTTTTATACAATTGGGATACATACTTGGGTATTATTTTGTCTTTTATACATTTGGTATATTCAATGTTTAGTATGCTATATTTTTTGAATACTGCCTTCCATAATGTTACTTATATTTACAAAGTAGAAAAGGGTTTCTATCCGGGTAAAATGTGTGCATATTTTAAAATGGCTTAAACTGTTCTCTTCAGGGAATCTTGTATATATATATATATATATATATATATATATATATATATATATATATATATATATATGCTAAATATATATATATGACTATTTTTGTTCATTAAAAGGAGTAAATGGAGGTTTCAACCGACAGGAAGTTATTACTCAGCTAATCTAGGCTAAAGGAAATAGAAACATACCAAATTAAAGGAAAAAATATGAAATTACATAGAGAAGCTACATTTGAGAATTAGACATTATGAAAGTACTCATACTGTCTTTAAAGAATGGCTTTTTTCTTTTTATATATCTCTGGTTCTATGATTTAGCATAGCATAAAGCCTTTGGAACAAGTTAAAATATATTGATTGGTACCTGTTGAACAACTTATATGTAATTTTTAATTGGTCTTTGTAGGTATAAATATTTAAAATCTATATGCCTATACTTTGTTTTCCATCCAGGTCCTTTTTGCTATAAACTGGTAGTACTTGGGAGAAAATACAACTTCTGGTTACTGAGTCAATGCCTGTTTGTCTTCTCTCAGCCAGTGACTGCCACGTTCTCTGTCCCTTCAGAAGGCAATAGGAAGGGTTCCATGGGTTGTAAAAGGTCTTGTGGGATTGATGAGATTTGGAAGAGTCAGAGAGTCTGCATTCATGAAGCTAGGCAGGGTAGTGCCAGAAACTTCAGAACAATTACTGAAGAAATGTTTTTTTTATCAACTGGGCATTGTTTTAGATGCTGTGGTGCTGGGACAAGAGGCTGGCCTTTTATAACTCAAGAGCAATTACCTTCACTTAAGAAACATCACACAAAGTAAAATATATTGAGAGAAAATTCAACTATATTTTTTTTCTAATTTTAAGCTCTTTGGTGGATGTCTTTATTTATTCTTGTGAGGTATTTGAGTGATGCACAACGAATTAGTGTTGCAGGCAGGAGCAATTCTGTCGTCAGAAGAATGTCCAAAAATTGAAATAAACCTATGATATGGAAGAAATTTGACTGAATAGATTTCTTTTTTTTTTTTTTTTTTTTTTTTTTTTTTTTTTTTTTTTTTTGTGGTGGTTTTCCTGTTTTTGAGAGTCTTCCTCAGTAATCTGATAGGTAACAAGCAGGAATTGTGAATATATGTATATATTTTAACATTGTAACCTGCTCTGAATAAAAACATGAAACTCTGCGAGGAACTATCTGTTTAACATTTCATGCTAATCAGATGGTGTGTCTACGTTTAATAGGTCAAGTAGCAACTGAGAAAACTCAGAAGTTGAATTAACCTTTCACAGGTTTTCTGGCAGTCTGGGTTGTTATAATTGACCTAAACTCTCTTTGGCCTACAGTCTTTAATTGTCAGGAGTGTTTCTCACAAACAGAACATTCTTTTTGCTTTTTTGATATAATTTAGTATCATAACCCTTTTTTCTTCTCTTTTTTGTAGGATGCTTCGAGTGTTGCATCAAATGCCTGGGAGGCATTCCCTACGCGTCTCTGATTGCCACCATCCTGCTCTATGCTGGAGTTGCACTGTTCTGTGGCTGCGGGCATGAAGCACTTTCAGGAACCGTCAACATTCTGCAAACCTACTTTGAGATGACAAGATCTGCGGGAGATGTTATTGATGCCTTTACCCTGTAAGTTCTCTGCTCTTTTTACTTATTTCCTTTTCAAACTGATCAGAAGTTCCACAAGGGATATAAATTCGGCTTGAGAAAATATTTTTCAGTGAAAATCTTAGAAAAAATGGTTTGCATAATCTTAGCAGATGAAGTTTTGACCAAGATGATATTTTTATATTTACAAACAATCTGCAATATTATTAAATATCCCACAGTTTTAATTAATTTATTACTGAAATTTGCATCATATAATAATGATAAATCTGTTCCATGCATCCTTGCATTTAAGAAAACAAACAAACAAGAAAACAAACCCCAAGGTCCACAAAGCTCTAAATAGACAAAGCAGACTTGTGCAACAAGTAACAGATCTGGGAATAAGCACTGTAAAGAAGTAACCAAGGAGTTGTGCAGAACCCTGAGACTTGAAATATCAAAATTCTATTGCCTCTGTTTTTTATGGAATTAATCTGTTGCGAAGATTTCATGCTTTGCCATTCCTGAAAATCTATTTATGGAAGACCTTTGTTTTTCTGAGCATCAACTTCTCTTTGTTAAATTTATTGCATTAAAAAAATAGTTTACTGTATGCTGAAATTAAATGAAATGTTTTCTTGTATCTTTAAAATTATCTCTTTAAAATATGATTTTCTTAGATATTTGAAATTAAAATTCTTACCTGGCTGCTAATGGTTGTAACTAAAGCTAAAGAAGCCTATCCTTACATTTGTAATTATTTTCTTTCATGAATATTTTTCATAAAAGTGAAGTGATCATCACAAACATTGACCTCTTCTGGTAGATAGTTCCATAACAAAAATGCCAGGCTTAGCAGTGATCAAAAAACAAACCTGGTACCAATGGGTGGAAAAATCAAAGTGGAACAGAGAACACACTCATGCCATTGTGTAAGTGCATCTTTCATTCATATCCCTAATGCTGTATACAGTGCTGGTGCCTCAAAGAACACAAAGAAATGATGATTATAGAAAATAGATTATAGGAAATAGATGGTTTAAAATTGAATATAGGAGGATTCTTCAGTCTAGAAAGGGGGTGATTAAGAACTGTTGCATGAATGGTCTGTAAATTCACAGTATTATGAATAAGATGTGCAAGATTAGATTGTCTTTCCATTCCAGTACAAAAAGTTTGAGGTATCAGAGGAAATTAGTAGGCACCAGATTGAGCAGGAGCAAGTTCTTCAATTTCTTCATAGCAAAACTATAAACCTATTTGCATATTATGGATGCCAGAAGTTTTTTATGGCTTCAAAGGAAGACTGAATAATCTTGGAGAACAGATCCATTGATAATTTCTACTGACACACAGATTTATCCAGCTAAGGAAGTCACAAAGGCTAGATTAGTGTTGGAGGTTATCCTGTTGACTAACCTGCTATTACTCTTTCCTTATATTCATTGTTTGACATAGAAAAATGAACAAGATATACATATTTGATCTGACTGGGTACCAATGTTTACATGAGAGCTAGAAATGGAATCTGAAATTTCTTAACTTCTCTTGGGTTATGTTATCAATATCCTTTCCAAAGCTTCTGTCCAAATTTTATTTCACTCACTGTGGGATTAGTAGCCAGAAGGGAGCACAGACCAAATGAATATGTCACTGCTATGCAAAATTAAAATTTCTTCTTTGGATCAAGGAATTTTTATGTCCTTGTATAATAATATGTTGGGTTGAGGGGAAGATGTATCTTCTGCTTTGCCTTTTTGGATTGTCATTTAGAATAATGAGTCTGGCTTGACTTGCTGGCTAAGGTTCATTGTTATCCTGAATGAAAGATCAGTCATTTTATTAGGCTCTAACTTATTTTATTAGTCCCTAGGAAGCTATTAGTGCAGAACAACCACAAATCAATGCTTTCTCTTCATAGCACGTTTTCCATCTTCTCTCTGTCACATACTAAAGTAAAAGTATCAGTCAGGGAATATAGTCCAAATGCATATAATTCATTGTAAAAGATTAAGGAATTGTAAAGGTAATTTTTTTCCCCCGGCATTTGTTTTTCCTAGCTAGTAGCTTTTGGGTCTGTTTTCTTTGTTTACTTAATGAGATAATAAACCAAGTTCTTTCTTGGGCAGACCTACTATAATGAAATTTGATTTTATTCAGTTGTGAAAGGTATATCTAAACTTATGTCTTAAAGGCAGGAGGAGCAAATATTTTGACTAAAAGCAGAGAAGCCGTTGCTTTGAACTGGTAAACTGTGTTACGGGCAGAGAAATTTGCATATGCTAATTTTCTACCTGTTTGAGTAGATATTACACTGCTTTAAAAAAATATGTAGGGAGAATAAATCCTTGATATTTTCTCACAAGTATTGATTAACTGTTAGCAGTACAAAAGCTCTATAGTAATTATACTTTTGAAAGACCAAAAACCAGAAAGAAGAACATGCAAGTAGAAATGAATGCTGTAGTGCCTACATTCTTAAAAAAATACATGTTGTAATTGAAATAAAACTTAGGTTTTTTATTTTTCTGATTGCAAATGGTAAGAACTTAAAAATCTAGCAGTATGCCCTACTCAACTGTACTTTTTTAAAGGTTATTTAACACATTTGTGCTCTTAATGCTTCTAGTGCTGTGAAGTGTCTCAGGCTGGTGTGGAGTCTGTCCTGTGATAAATGTTCCAGGTGGACGCTGCAGTGGAGTGACGTGTGTTAGATTCTGTTTAATCATGCTTATGGTTTCTGTCTATAGTTATATTAGCATGCTGGATTTCAAATGTCATTCAGGATAAAAATCAATCCTTATCTGGGGACTACTTATGTGAGTGGCAGGAGATGAAGGCTGTTTTAACTGTGTTCACAAGTGTTCTTTCTGAATGCAAATAACACAGCTCATAAGCCACTCGATATCTTTTATCTCTGTCAATGGGGCTACTGGCTGTAATTTAGAAGAAGCAGCAGACCCCTGTAGAGAAAGTAGGACACAAGGGGGGAAAAACACTCTCTGAAACACTCTCTAAATGCCTAACATAAAAGCCGAAATACCCAGATCCAACACCGCCATTCAGAAATGCCCACATCAATGACCCTGAGGGCATAACCAGCCCTGCCTGTCCCTGCCTGGCCTCTCCCAGGGCCACCCTCTATCCTTCCCGTGGCCCAGGACCACATTTCAGTGAAGCCAGAGGGCTTCAGACCCTCACCACTGACTCTCCTGACCCCGGGGTTGGGGCTGCTCTGGGCTGCCCACACTCCACATGATGCCTTGGCTCTTGGGGAGACATTAAAGAATTAACAACCTGCAATAGGCAGCAAAGTTCCCTTGGAGCATTCAGTCCTTGGGGATTCAGCCAAGAGCAGCAGCCCTGAGCAATCAAAGGGGTGATCTGAGTGCTGGTCCTGAAGACTGGTCCCTCTTTCCATCTCCCTGGATTACTGTCTGAATTCAAAGAGGATATGCCAGCTGCAGATCATATTAACTGTGGAAATATTGACAAGTAGTAAATACTTGTAATTTTAAAATTATAAGCAAGTTTTGCAGCTGTCATTTAAATTCTATTAATGCCACTCAGTTACATAAATTTTCTCAAATTTGTGTTTTTCTTTCCCAAGTTAAAACATAAAAAGATCATGGTCAATAATTCCCACGTCATGGAGGCAATCTAGAAAGAAGCTGGGTAAGGTAGAGAGAGTGCTTTTTTGCTTGTTTGTTTTCAGGGGGAAAATACAAAATTCAGCCTGTAAATGAGATGCAAAACCCAAAAATTTCTAAAAAAAACCCCAAACAATTTTTTTTTTTAAAGGATTTTATCTCAGTGCACTGGATTATCACCTGACTTTAGTTTCTTTGAGGGAGAAAGGTAAAAAAGTTACTCTAAATACTTGAAAGCGAATATAAATCAAATGTGTTGAAATTAATGAGAACACATGCTGTATAGAGAGTGATGCCTGTGAGAGGCTACCTGGAACAGAGGCTAGACAGTGTTAAATTAATAAAGTAGGTATTTATTTAAAAGGCCTTCAAAGGATACACCTTGGGCATTACAAGAACCTGGCCATGGCTCTACCCAAGATGGACCCAAGATGATCCCAAGAAGGATGACCAGTCATGAGTTTTCACACTTTTATAAGTTTTGGTCCATTTACATATTTGGCTTAATTTTCCAATTACAGCTTCAGGTTATGAAGGCCCATCCTCCCAGATTACTCTCCTCAATTCCCTGTTGTTTACAATTTTTGGGCCTGAAGCTACAATGGTGTCCTTGGTTCTCAGGCTGGAAAAGGATTGTTTTGTCTAACTAAACTGTGAAGAGAACTTGCTAACACTTTATATGAAGTTCAGAGCCACACCAAGACAGAATCTAAAAAAATATGAAAGCTAAAACTTAAGGCATTAGCAGGTATTCCTTATGGAGAGAACATATCTTCAAAGTCATATAGCTGATGGTAGACTCTCTTTAGACAGTCATTTTTAAATCCATGAACTTTTAGTAAATTGGATGGCTATAAAAACATTTGGAATTTTCAATGTGTGACCTTTTCACTGGGACTAACCTCCAATTATATTGCTTTCTGAATGAGTTTTGGGAAAACTTCACTCCCTCTAGTTCCAGACTTTTTCACTATCAACATTACCACTGTTCTAATGGTAGCTATTTCCCTCCTCCCACTCCCCCACCAAGTGAAGGGATGCCTGTTTAGGAATTTGCAGAAGTCATAAGGGTTTTTTTGGGATGTGGATTCTTTCAGTGACTACAGAGTAGTTATTTTACTTTTTTGTGATCCAAAGGAAGCCTAAGAAAATACATATTATGCTTTAAATTATCCTGAAAACTGCTTTTATAGTATTTAACTGCAAGAGGTGAATGATTTATGTTGCTGACTTTGTCAGTTTAATAGTTCTGTAGGTTTCACTAAAACGGAGCAATCTGCTTGAGGTGGATGTTGTATTCGGTCATTCTCCTAATAACTTAATAAAATGCAGCAAACACAACCTGCAAAGTACCAGATATAATTAGATTTTCGTACTTAATCACTGATT